GTAGTGGTAGTAGCAGTAGTAGTAATAGTAGTAGTAGTAGTAGTAGTAGTAGTAGTAGTAGCAGTAGAAGAAGAAGTAGTAGTTGTTGTTGTCGTAGTAATAGTAGAAGTAGTAGTTGTGGCAGCAGTAGTGGTTGTAGTAGTACAGCTGTAGCAGCAGTAGCAGCAGTAGCAGCAGGCAGCAGTAGTGGTAGTAGCAGCAGCAGCCACAGTAGGAGGCGTTTGTGTTGTGGTCTGCCAAAACTTGTTTGTCCTACCCATAGCATGAGCGAGCCTTGTTACATGCATCGCTGGCCCCGGCACCCAGCACCCACCCTACTAAGGACCATAAGTACTTTGCGTTGAGAAAAATTGACATATGTGAAAATTGAGATATGTGAACACCGAATGCGTCACTACATGAGCGGTGCGGGCCTCAAATCTGTGGTCCAGCCGATGCCGAAAGTGCCTGGCGCGTTCGGCACGGTGTGATGTTGCAAGACAAGCGAACCGTGTATAACAATACGCCTGATGTTCGGAGGGTGTATGCCCTCGACATTTCCACCTTCGAATAGACCTTGGGGTGTGGGATCGACGGAACGTGTGACGCCTACAGATCAAACAACCCACCAAGACCCTGGCGGAAAGGCTGGGGAAAGAATACGGCACCGACCGGAACCTTTCACGCAGAATCATGGACTGCATGTCCGGAAAATCTGAAAGCTCTGTGGACACACGCACCCCAGAGTTGATATGGGTAGGTTCCACACACTCAGCCCTATCACAAGCCGCGCGGCCTTCACGTAGCAGGGCGAGCCCGGATAAACAGGACAACAAACTTTTCGCAGGAGACGTAATGCTGCGTTGAACTGCCTGCAAAGTCACCATTGTGCGACGGGCAGCCTCGACACTGAATTTTCGTTCCAAATCTGCTTAGGAAGTTGTCTGAACATTTCCAAGAGCCCGGCAGCGCCCAGCGGTGCGCAGCTGCTGAGCAGTCACTAACTATAAAGAACTTGGGCCAGCGAAAGAACATATGCCTTAGGAACTTTAGCCTTTGGATGCGCCAGGAACATGAACTCAATTCTTGCAGCCCAAACTGAAGCTGCAGAGCACCAGTGCCTCTCGAATCATGACCTGTGCCAGTGCGACAGCCTGGCAGCGAAACCAAGCAAACAGCTGGGAGGATTGAGGGAATACTGTCATCCAACATGTCCAGAGACTGAGCCACGAGCATCTGCTGACCCCGTCATGCGCACAATGCATGGATCTCGTCCCTGTCCAGGCTCTTTGATAAAGAAACAGGTGCTGGGTCATGTGTGCATCTTGACAAGTGCCTTGTCCAAGTCTATCTTTGCGCCACTTCTCTCCTGAGGGCCAACAAGCTCCGGCAAAAGCTCCGAACACCTGCAGATCTCTGCACTCCTGAATCTCATTGATCTGCCGGCCACCAGGACCGATCAATCGGCCGGTGGCACTTGGAGGGATCTGAGAGTGGTCGCAAGACAAAAAACTGACCGTTTCTGCACAGCTGCCTCCATCGTGGCTGCTGCTTCTGCTAGCTGCGTCCTATCCCTGCCTGCACCAATCAGGTGCTTCATGGCGGTCCCCTTTACCCCAGACTGGAGGAGTGCATAGGAGTGCCTTCCAACACTTCGGTCACGAGAGTCTTGGCCAGCTGCACGTTGTCCGGAAAGCCACCGAAACGTACCTCAGCGGACAAACACCCGTTGCACTCAATTTTCGCACTCGCGAGCTCAAAGGGGGGACGAGGCAGCGGTCAGGCTGGCGGTCAATATCAATCTTGGCACCGCTGCGCTCTTGAAGCTCCTCACACGTCACACGCTCTTGAGCCGAGAAGGGCGCACGACAACACCGAGCCTCAGACCTGTATCCTGGTACCTCCAGCGCCGATGATGCGCCCCACGGCACTTCGGGGAATCTCCAGGTACTCTCCGCTACCTCGCACTCGCTCGACATAAACGAACGCGCACCTGCGACCTGCAGCCTCAAAGGCACCTGAGTCTGTCGGCGGAGTCATGATGGCGTTGATCATGGCCTTCGCCACATCCACCTCACGACAGGGGTAGCTGAGGCTAGGCTTGAGCAGACAAGAAAGCCCGCGGAAGCGACCTGGCTTTGCGTTCCCACGAAGCGCACCCTGCATCCCGTAGGAGACTTGTCCACATCTACCTCGCACGATGCATGCAGGGCTCTGACCAGCGGATCTCAGAGCTTGCGACCTGTGCACCGCTTTTTTGCCGAATTTCGGCAATCTGCTGGCCCTTGGTTCCGATGACCTCAAACGGGTGATCCTCAGCCGAACTGCCAATACAGTCTGGGACCGCATGGCCTTGCCAGTCGCGTGCCGAGGGAGCTCGAGGTGTTCTTCTACGGCCGGCCTCTATCGTTCACAGCTCTCTCAAAGACTGATCTTGTGACAAGCTCTCGGGCACAAACGAAGTTGCATCTGAAGCTGCCGAAGCCGCTCGTGCTGACACGGCCTCATTTCAAGGAAAAGCCTTTTCTGGTCGTCACCTTGTCGCCATACTACTAACCATCCATAACCATCCCATTTGCCGGAAAAAACTTGTAAGACGCCCTCTCTGGGAACGGGCTACCTGCCTTTCGACCCCCCAACTCCTTGGCTCGCGCTCTCAGCAATGCTCTCACCGAGATCAGAACGGCAGCTGCTGCCGCAGCAGCCGCGGCGGCAGCTGCACGGACGGGCGAGTCCAAAACACTTCCGACACAAGCCCAGACACATACGAAGTATGAAATCATGTTCGGCTGCCTTCCCTTCCAACTTCACGAGAATCGCCTGAGACAGGGACACATGCAGTGCGAGCCGATTGAAGCCTGAAACCGAACTTCCACCGGCGAGACCTTCCGCGGTGGGAATTGAACAAACAATGACACAGCGAGAAGCTTGGCAAAATCTGTAAGAATCCAGGGCGAACAAACGCCAAACTCAGAAACTGCTACTTAAATCTCGCCTGCTATCAGAGCGCCGTCAGCAACTTCCAAGATCAATGCCTGCACGTCTTTCGCGGGGACAGTCTGAAGTTCTTGCTAGCCCGGGACGGGACAATGACAAAACATCGACATCGCTGAAAAGTGCCAAACGATTACAAAACCCGCGTCTGGACTATCTACACCAACCACTGGCATTGCCTGTATCATTAGCAGATTGGATAGCTCTCAGCATTTATTTGCAGATAAGTGGAGTGGATTAGCTTATATTGTATGACATCGTGTCATGCTGTGCTGAATTAGGCAGACAGCTTGCTGTAGGCCAGTTAATCACATGCCCCGATGTAATAAACACCCCCGTTATCACAGCTTGACACACAAAAAGACTTTCTGGAAAGTAGTCCTGAAACCAGCCGCGTTGTAAAACCTGTTTTGAATTACGGGGTGCAAGAGCAAGAGCAGGAACAACCACAGGAGCAAGGCCAAAAGCAAGAGTTGGGAGCAAGAGCAGGGGTGGGAGCAAGAGCAAACGTGGAAGCATCAGCAAGAGCAACAGTAAAAGCCGCCGCAGGAGCAAGAGCAAGAGCCCCGGCAGGAGCAGGAGCAAGATCCTCGCCAACGTGATAGTAGTCATAAACAACACACTCTAATGTTGTATTGGGCCGCAGCAGCTTGCTGCAGGGGCCGGCGTGTGCGGCAGGAGGCAGTCTTTGAACCCCCTGTCGTATAAATGCTCGTTGCTATGAGTTCCGCAACTCGCACAAAACTCCGCTCCTACTTTGCAGTGGATGGCGAGGTGCACAGGCGCGCGCTGCCACAGCAGGTGTCTGCCTACAGCCAACCAGTCCCATCACAGCGGGCCATCGCCGGCACCTTGCAGAAAAAGGAGCGCCACAGGTGTGGCTGCACTCCTGCACGTGTAATTGCTTCACCGTAAACTGCCGGGAAGGAGTGCATCAAAAAGACAAAGTTTTGCTTCACATCTTTTTGTTGGCAGCAAAGGAAAGTACAGCACGACAGTGACCCCTTGCACGCATATCTCCATGATTTTGTGATTTAACCACCTTCCCCTTCGCCGTACCATCTCCGAATCAGCGGAAGTTTGCATCAACCGATTGGCGTCCTTCGCCCCGAGGCTTGCCAGGTCCAGTTGCTTCTTTGTCGCTTGGCTCGATGCAGCCTATCCAGGAGGGTCTTGAAACGGTTTCGCAAGGTTTGGCCTGACATCGGCCACAGTTTTGCTGCGGGGGACAAATTCCCAAAAAGCGAAAACGCTGACAGGCTGATCAAGCCTAAGGGCCCGATATCGAGCTGCCCTTTTCTGCGTTTTTGGCTCGAGGATCGAAAGAAGTCCGCAGCCGACCATGTCCGGAGTCCAGCGGTAGCACGAGGTCTCTCCTCCTGGCATTCAGGATTTCTCCAACATGTGCCAAGCCTCCCGAACGAAGCTAAAGTGCCTGCCACCAAAGGCCGGAGAAAACAATGAGTAATCATAGCAAGCAAGACTTGCAAGGCATGATGATGTACATGAGGTTCTGGCCGGAGCCCGTTTAAAGCAATGCCACACAGGATGGTTGAAGAAGCTTGCGCAGCTTCGGGAGCGGGTCGCGAGGGCGTTCAGGAGTAATGTCCGTAAGGCCGGTCGGCCGCGAAAGGCACAATTCCATAGTTTGACATGAGGAAGAAAGAGCTCCAAGCCCATCCCTGTTGCAACAAGCCAAGTTTCGAACTCCTTCTAAAGGCGTTCACGCTGATTTTTTTCGCCGTGGCTTCGACGTGCTTGCGTGCAGCAAGGTCTGTGCCCGAAGGTGGCGTTTGCCTCGCAAAGTCTGCGCGGTTCTTGGGTTGCAGCGCTGCAGGTTCAGTCGCGGCTCCATGGCAAAGGTGCTGCCGGCAAAACCCACAACTGCAACCAAAACCACAACCCTGAGGATGCAGCTCACGAAAAGGGGACCCTCACCTGGAAAACCTAGGGGCCGGCAGCACAGCCTGAAAGACCAGGAGGCCCAAAAGAGAAGTGCAGCATAGACTGCAGCATAGAGGCCGAAGGCCGTGGCAGTGGCGCGGATGCTGTGAAAGGCCTGGGAAAGGGTTTTCGAGCTGCTTCTTCCTTTTGAAATTGCACAACGTCAATGAGGGAACAGGCGTTTCCGCCCCGAACCCAGGCCTTCAACGATACTGATTTTGGATCGGGAGGCAGAGAGAAAAGCAGAAGCTTTGGCTCTCGACACCATCGCTCACAGCATCGGCACAACGAAGGCAGGATGCAGCTTCTTCGTTGAAATCCACAACGAGCACCGCAATCAGGAGTCAGGCCTCTTGCTCGACACGGGCTGCCACCGAAACTTACTGGTGGGACCCAACAATGCACTCGGCCGTGGCCCCTTCAGAAAGTGCAAACTCGTGCTGAGAAAGGGCTCCGGCAGGCCGGGCAAGAAGGAAAAATGCAGATAAAACTTTGTTGAATGGCTTGTTAGGGGTTTCAGGTGCTGGCTCGCCCACGATTTCCCAATCACGGTCCTCCGACCTCCGCACAACAAGTTGAGAAATGGCTCACACAAAGCTTCAATTGCGGAAGTGAGGCTTTGAGCCGTGGACCTGTCGCCCATGCAAGTATAGCCTCTGAGGCGGAGGGCAGATGGTCGAGGAGGAGGATCAGTGAAAGTGACGGGGGGCAAAGGAATCCTGAGGAAGACAACCTCCCGAAAGCAAAAAATGGCCGAAGCCCCAACAGCCGAGCCGGCAATTCCAGCCAGCAGGAGAATGGTGAAGGAGGAGGAAGAGTGAGCTGGACACACCCCACCCGTTTGAACTGGACCCGGGAACCACAAAGGAAACCACTTGGAGGACCCAGCTCACACCAGTCTTTGAGCCCCGCGTCGTATAAATGCTCGTTGCTATGACTTCAATCTGACTGTTCAAGTACATGGGGTTTACAAGAGAAAAAGCAGTTTACGCACATATTTAGCGAAGAAGCACTTACATGTCACTCATGTCACTCACGTAGGAGTCATAACGTGGACATGGTGTCTATCTGTGTGCACGCGGGCGTTTTGGCAAAATGTAGCGGGGTTTCGATGGGGTTGCTGTAGAATTCATAAGGTTGTACTTGCTGCAGCCCGTCAGCATTCAGTAAGTATGGGCTGTTACGGTGATAAGTGCAATGAATCAAGACTCACAGCTGGGAAGCTCGATGAACATGTGTGTTCTACGGTGTACTGACTGTCCCGATTGAGCATGGGAGCTCCCGGGCTAGAAAACTAGGTTTTCAAGGGTGCTGCGGAATGCAATGAAAACACGGTGCGGAACGCAATGGAAACATGGGCTTCGTAGTGGGATGTTACATACCCGAACCCGCTATAACATATCTGGGTTCCAGGGGTGAACCTGGCCCCTGCGTTTTAGCACTTTATGCGTATTACCAAGTACGTGACATCGAGTCGGACGTGCATAGGGACGTGTTCCAGGGGCGAGGGGCGAAGGGTTCATAGTTCAGTGTTGAGGTTTAGAGAAAACCAAAGCCAAAAAGACTCAAAAAACCAAAACCAAAAGAACCAAAAAAACTAAAACCAAAAACCAAAACCAAAAAAAACAAAGAAACCAATAAAACCATTTCCAAGAGAGTCTAGTCTTGTGACGAAAATTCCTGGAAAATGGTTTTGTTGGTTTCTTTGGTTTTTTTGGTTTTGGTTGTTTTGGTTGTTTTGGTTTTTTTGGTTTTGGTTATGAGTCTTTTTGATTTTAGTTTGTTGCTTCTTTTGGTTTGATTATTTCTTGTGCCTTAGCTTTTGGTTTGCTTCTTTTGTCTGGTGTTTGTATTGTGGATATACGCGTCTAGTGAACGGCATGTGATCGCTTCCGCTCTTTGTGGTCATAGGTCAACGTATAAACGGTGGTGCCGTGAGTGCCATGTCGCGTCGCGAGCTTCCACTAGATGTGCAGCAGATGTTGGGAAATCCAAAAATCAAATTAATCCGAAAATCCAAACTCCGCTCCACTATCTGCTCGAAAATATAGGATTTGTAGACTTTTGGATTCACGGGGAATCGTGACTGTTGCACGGACATATTACGTTACTCTTCCCTGACACTGTTTTCACGTTGTCTGTCCACGTACTGATATCAGATCTTGCGGATGATGATTTCGTTGATGCCGTTCCAATCTTAATACTTATTACTGTTAATTGTATTTTGAGTAGTCCTAATTCTTGTATCAGTCTTAGTGTTAGTATTTGTCTGCTGTTAACATTAGTCTGAATATTAGCATTAGTTACTATCAGTACTAGTATTCATATGAGATGAGTTAGTGTTAGTGTTAAGTATTATTGTTAGTGCCAGTTGCAATGTCAGTGTGAATATTAGTACTTGTATTTTTAGTGTTAGTATTAGTCTGAGTATACATCTTAGTATTTGTACTAATACTCGTATACGCATTAGTATCCGTATTTGTAATAAGATTAACATATTAAGCAGATAAGTATATTCATGGAAAAGTCTGCTAGTAGATCAGTATACTAGTAGATGAATGTTTTAGTACATTAGTAAATCTGTATACTTGCATAATTATTCATTACTACATCAGTATATTATTATATGAGTATATTAGTAGACTGGAAAATGGTGTAATTGTATATTAGTATATTAGTTTATATCACTATATTAACACATTAGCAAAATTGTATTCCGTATTGGTTTAATATATTGAGTATATGTTACATAATCGATAAGTATATTAATGGAAAAATTTACTAGTAGATCAGTATACTAGCAGACTAACTTATTAGTACATGAACGTGCTAATGGAAGGGTACTTTAATATAGTAGCATGTATATTTTTGTACAATAGGAAATCTTTACATATTAGTACGCGTGTGAGTATTGATTATCAATGTCAATGTGAGCCTTAGTATTAATATGAGTATCAGTCTGAATATATATGCTGATATTGGGAAGAATACTCGTATACGCAGTAGTATTCATATTAGTATAAGGTTAAATATTTCAAATGCATATTAATAGACGAATATTTTTAAAGATCATGATACTAATACATGATTGCATTGAAATATATGAGTATGATTGCATACCTGTATAGTCGTATACAGGTATTTAATAGGTTGGTACTTGTAAAGATCATTATGCTCATACATGAATGTATTAGTGTATGAGTATGTTTGCATACCTGTATAGTCGTACATTGGTACATTCGTCCTTTATTGTAGTAGTATATAATTCGAAAATCCAATATTTTCGAGGAGATGGTAGAGCGAAGTTTGGATTCTTGGAATTTTGGACAATCGTTTGTCTTTATGTCGAGTTATTTAGTGCCCGTGGCTTGGTAATTTGCGTAAAGTGCCAAAACGCAGGGGCCAGGTTCACCCCTGGAACCCTTTTCTGATATACTTTCAGTTCGTATATTGTAGTCATATGCTGTAACATATCACACTATACCAAATTAGTGCCGGCGAAGACCCCGAACAGTATGGACGCAAAGCTAAGAGAGAGACAATCGGGGACTGGGGCGAGGAACACCAACAAAGCTGAAACAGCTCTAAAGATAGCGGGCTCAAAGGCCAACATGTACAGGCAGCGATGTGGTGAAGAATGCAACGTCAAACACAAGCTTAACCTTGCGAGGCGGAGGGGGGGCGGTGGACAATTTGAACCCGGTTGCCGAAGTTGGGCCCACACGTGCATCAGCTCTTCAGCGAGAACTTCCACCTGAGTGACAGCACTGCAAGAATATTCCTGTCGTTATCTCCGAAGCTTTGCGGGCCACTCCTTTTTCCTTTCATGGCTGCCTGCCAGTCGTGGTACAGGAAAGTTCATATTAGCCGCAAACACCTCAGCAGGTAGCATGAAGCACTCCAAGATTGCGGGCCAAAGGCCCAGTACGGGCAGCAATCTTGTGAAGAATGCTTCAACCCCGGGCTTGGGCCACCAGCGTGACCAAGTCCAGGCAGGGGCGCTGGAGGCGGAGGCGCAGGTGCAAAAGCTGGTTACACAGGGGAGCTGGAGCCCGGCAGTGGCATCGGTGGATGCCAATCCGTGACCAAGCCAGCTGCTGACTAAAGACATTGACAACCTGAGCCTCCAAGTCGCCCGTGCCCGTGATCTCCAACACTTGAGTGAACAGCTCAACGGAGAGGGCCTTCAGAACCAGCCGCACCACCAATCCGAAGAGGAGCACCGTCACCTCTGGAAAGGCTTAGGAGACAACGACGGCGACATGAGAAATCCATCCGTAGCAGTTGCACTGACCGGGGTCGTACTGGCTGAGGCCCATTACGTGCTGGGGCACTCAATATCGGCCCTGTCGTCCGCGACTGAAAAGAATTCACCAGGCACGCCAGGGCCGCTGTGAGTGGCATCTCCGGCCTCCCACCATGAAGCCGAATAGACCTTGGTCCACCTCCTGCTCCCCCAGGCTCTGCGCTGCCGACTGTGCTGCCTGCAACAAGTTGTTCGCTGCCACGCCAGCCACATCTTGAGCCGGAGCTGCGGGCACGGATGGTACGGAGTTCCAAGGGCCTTGGCGGCCTCCACCGACTCTACGCGACGGAGCCGGACGCGTGAGGTGTATACACTGCCCGCTTGCAAGGCTTGACTCGAGCTTCTTCCACCGCTGAAGCAGGCACGTTCCAATGGTTGACCACTTCTCAGCTGAGGGCGCCTCCCGCGTCGCTGCGGCTGGTTGGGCAGATTTCTCATCAACGACGCGAGCCTTGGTAAGAAGCAGCTCCTCGTCGCTGTCGTCTCCGTCGTCGTGCTCCTCGTCGGAATCCGCTCCCTCCCTCGAGCGAAAGAACTCCGCTAGGCCCGAAAGGTCGGCCTCCAAGCCCTTCTTGGTGCCGACTCTACGGGATCGTCCTCAGTTTTCTTCCATGCAGCTTGAGCGACACTCAAAATCGGGATGGATGCCGCGCGCGGACGGTGCACTAAGTGAAGCGGCTGTACTCGGCACTCGAATAATACCCACCTGTACTTGTCCTATCGTCACTACCAGCTTTTGCTCTAAGGATTCCACGGCACTCGCCCGACAGCTTCGACACCACCCATCTGCAGATGGGCACGTTTCCGACATCCGAAATCAGCTGGCAGTAAACCAGGTCGTCAAAGCTGGCCACTGCGGATGGAGGCGTGCCCACTTGCCGAAGTGGGGCCCACACATGCATCAGCTTTTCAGATAGAACTTCCACCTGAGTGACAGCACTGCAAGAATCGTCCTCTCAACCAAAAACAGCTGGGAGCGGCAAGACAGTGCGTGTATGTCAAGAACAAAAACGTAAACAAACCATCAACAAACGCAACTTCAGAGTGGCGTGCAGCTGCAAACCGGGATCCTAGAAAAACTGGCAAATTCTAATCCAGAAAGAGGTCGGGAGTGACACTGCCATGCTGACGCATCAAAAGGCAAAACACCATCGAGAATCCCTCCCGACCAAACTCTTAACCCGACCAAGCCGACGAACGGACCAAGGGACAACTGAGAGGCGACTGGCTGAACGGATGAGCAGATGGAGACGAAAACGACGGCTGATCAACGGACCTATCAGTTCGCCGAATGGCAGAAGCAGAACTCGATCAAAGCACACAGTCCCGACAGCATGTAGCTCCCTTGATCCCTTGATCCCTTGATCTCGGAGACTTGCAAGCCCCACTCGACAACTGTTCCATGCGCTGTTCGTTTTGACTGCTGAGCACACGCCGCTCGCAGTTCTAGTTGACCTGATTTCAAAAGCTTGTCGACTCCGTCCTTGGCATGCTCGCAGGCTTCCAAGGTGCCGCTGAGGAGCACCTGCGAGGGCCACACGGACCAAACCCCCCAAACCGCCCAACTCAAAGAGTTCCCCAAACTAGGGCCACCCCAAACCCAAAAAGAGACTTCCCCAAAACCAGCTCGCTGAGAAGCTGCGCCTGAACGGGGTCCTCGGTTTGGTCGCGCGCATCGATCCGAGCACCTCGAGGAGAAGGGCACGACTCCAGAAGAGCCGACAGCGACTGCGGTTACTGCGGGAACGGCCTGTGCGCTCGCGGATGTCTTTGATGGTTGCCCCGGCCTCCCATGGTGTTCCACAGTGCCAGCAGAAAACGCTCAGCCGAGCCGAGTTCTCGTGCTGCCAGTGCTCGCCTTCCCGATGACCCTTCCAATCACCGACTTCGGAAGTTGAAGGATTTCGATCTTCTCAGGCCTGGCAGGGAATCCAAAGCACCGACACACTTTCCCCTGAGCCCGCGGGCAGCGCGCCAGCCTCATGAAGCCCCGGGCACGGTTTGCCAGGTCCTGTGAAGATGTGCTCTTGACAATACCTTTGTGTTGTCCGTCGTCAACTCGGTGAGGGTCACAAATCTGTGCAACTGCTGCTGTCGGATCTTGGGGTAGACAGATAGAGAGACTGCACGACCACTGCTGAATGATGACCTTTCCTTGCCTACTTACTTCTGGATGCTGCAAATTGCAAGATTGGTGCCATTTTGCGGGAACGCTTGCAAACCATCGCACTACACACCCCAGGTAAAGCAGCGCAAGATTTCTCAAAAACACTGATTATGTAGAGGCATAAAGCGCGGTAGGACAAGATTGACGCTGTGGCACAACACTAGTGCAAAAATGCCTGATCCTCGGGCTCGGCTTCCGCCTCCTTTGCGGATTCAGACGAGATGGACAGTTCTGAGCACCTCTGACGGTCGCCTGAGATACTTCAGGCAGTTCTTTTGGACGAGGGCCGGAGCCTACCCAAGTGCAGCATCACAAGTTGGCCCCCGGTCAGCAGTTCAACGGCACAAGGAACCATCCAATGTGAGCCAATGCCTGCATTCTCTTCAGCAGCCAGGGGAGAAGCACTCCGCCTGAAATCTGCACATGACATCCGAACCTGCCTCTGCGTCTGCAGCTTGTCCTTGCCCGGCCTCCGTGCACCAGCCACTGCAGCTGCCGCTGCCGCCGCCCGCAAAGCAGCTTGGGCGCGTGCCTTACGCAGTGACAAGCAGTGACCAGCCTACCGCTGCAGAGCCTTCCAAGGCGTGGCATGCATGTACCAGCAACATTCTGCAGTAAATCCTTGGCAAACTGCTGCTGTTTCAGAATCATCCTGCGTCCTGCTTGGGCTCCTGCAGCTCAGCAAACTGCAAATTCAAAAAAAACTTCGTAGCTGCGCGCACTGCTGCAGTACGCTTGAGCGCTCACCTCTGTTGCTGCAGTGGAACGAATGTCTAAAACCTAAACCCTAAACCCTTATTTAGCATGCGTGTGAAGTTGGTCTGAGTATTTTCCCACAAATCATCGGTCCTTCTCCTTGTCTTCTTATCCTTCTCCTGCAGTACTGAGTCTGCAAAGCATGTCCCGTGCGAGATACCATCCTGCCCATGTCATGTCCTGTTCTTCCAGAGCCATTGTCAGAGCATGGGGGTGGCGACCAACCCCATGACATGTACTAGCCGCTGAAGGCCTTCTTTCTCTTCTTCTTTTTGTCGCCACTACTGCCACTTTGCCTGTCGCCTCGGAAGAAGTTGCAAGGCAGTCATTCACACTCGTTCCTTCCGGGAAAAGCCATCCAGTTCAATCCAGACAAGTAAAGCCAAGTCCAAGAGTAAGCGACCTGGAAGCAATTCTTCCTAGCCTTGCCCCTGGGATACAGTAGCATGGGACGTTCAGGGGGCTTTTGATGTAGCCGATGGCTTCACCTGACTCCTCTGGATGAGCCGACAGCGACAAAACCTGCTAGGGCCGCTGCTGCTTGAGCTGCTGTCCCTTTCACGTTTCTTTTTCTTTCTGGCACGAAGTACACGAAGGGAAGGTAAACTTCGTGCAAGGTGGATCCTACTGAGGCTCAGACTTGTCTTTGTCCTTCTTTTTCTCTTTTTTGTCCTGTACTGTTGCTGTAGCTCAGCTTGTTGACAGTGCCAACTCCGATGGACATGATGCACACACAGATCAAAACACGAAGCATCATCCACCTCCTACACAGGCTAACACTCGCTCCACGGCTCCACTTCTGGCCTTTGAGTGTGGCATCCCATATGGTTGTCCTGAAAAACTTCAACAACCGCAAGCTTTGCGCCACTCTTAGCAGGAGCCACCAAACACATCCGTCCTGGGTAGCCGGGTGGCATAGGGTAGCCTGGAGGTGGTGGCGGCATCATACCGTGGGGCATGCCAGGCGGCATCCCATGTGGCATGCCTCCCGAGCATGAGACACTGCATACTAGTTGTCACTTCTTCGCGGCCTTCACGTCACAATATGGGTAGTTGTCTAAATTAGGATCCCATTTAGGATCCTTTTACAAGGGTGCCGTACTATATTTGGGACCAAAAAGGGACCCCAATTTAGAGAACCACCTACATCCAACTTCTCCAAGAAGCATTTACTAACCAACATCATCATCGAAACCATGATCATCTTTCTAATCATCATCATCACCACCACCATCATCTGCAGCACCATCGTCGAAATCATCGTGTCCCTAATCCGAAAAACTAATCCATGAAATACGACCGGCATGGACATCAATTCCACCGTGGTCATCGTGATCTTGTATCGTTCTGTTTAAGATGTGCCTGCCTGGGTAGCCCATGCCAGCATACCCCGGTGGCAGTGGCGGCATGCCATGAGGCGGGTACTGCCCTGCCATTCCCGGTGGTGACCTTGATCAAGGTTCTAGTAACAGTGCGCTCACCGTTTCCATGGAAAGTCTCAAATTCAATATCAGGGCAGTACGACATCATTGCGGCCGGTGCTGCATATTGCGGCCCTGATCCGAAAAACAGAAGGAACGGGGTGACAAAAAGCTTGCAACTGGAGCCTGCCGGCGCACTCATCTTCGGTGAGACTGTATTGACTCCAAGCTGCTGGCGCTATCGCAGATCATCCGCGTACTCCGTTTTACGACTAGTAGTTCAGAGAATAGAGTCAAGAGGTGAGCTCACCTGAGAATCTGTTCTCCAAGCAGTGACTCCATTTGAGAAAGCAGCTTCCACACATGCAGTGCTTGACAATGCTTGACATGCACATGTACAGCAGGCACTTGCAATTCATTCAGTGTGGGCACCAAGCGCGCCAGCAAACTCGCTTGCTTACGCACGTATCGCATGTCCGTGTCTGACCGCTGCCGGCTCGGAAAACTGGTGAAACAAGTCGAAGCTACAGCTTCAGCTCCACGAAATCAGCAAAGTCTGAAATCGTTTTAACCCACTGCGGCAACTGTATCTTCCCTTTCTCACCCCTCTTTTCCAGTACATTTACAAGATCAGCATCGAAGTCTTCTTCTAGTAACATTAAGCAGACACAAACATCGTCCCAACTGGAAGGATCGAAGAATCCGATTTCATCAAGCGTCATGTCTATAAGCATGCTCTCAGGAAGACCTATCCATTGAGCAATGCGGCGTTCTACAATTCGCAATGTCTTTGGCGAAGCCGGTTCTGACGGAATGTCGAGTTCTCGGGACTTCGTCACCCCTCTGAGCCTTTGTCGCAATAAAAGTCGCCGCTGCTCACGCTTCCTCTCCATCCAGTCTTGCACCCTGTCGAGGATATCTTGGTCTGCTTGACGAGCTCGCAACTCTTCCCAGTACTCGTTTTCTTTCTGCAAACGCCCTCGGAGCTGATCGTCAGAAAGGTCTTTGTCGGACTCATTGAACCTCATTTTCAATTCATCTGTCAACTCTGTCTCCAGCTCTGCAAAGAAGTCACGTCCACGCAGCTCCCAGTAGTCCTCAGACACGGTCTGACCTCGCTCTTTCCGATTAATGGGTTCGGCAACTTTGGATTTCCACTCCCCGACCATTCCCAATGATGCAAGCTCTTCAACTGCACGCTTGATAAGCTGGAAACGCTCCGTGTCTCCTGTTTTGGGTACGTCCGGGTGGTAGATTTTGGCTTGCTTCCGGAAAGCAGCACGAAGCTCATCCTCACCAATCTCATCAAAAGGAGAAACATCCAAGATCTCATACGGATTGAACTCGCCGGTGTTGAAAATAGCCGAATCTTCATCAATCTCATCCGCACCTCCTTTCCGTTGGTTTCCCCCCTTCGCTTCATCGTTAGTGCTGCTCTGGGAGAAAGGTATGGTTTCACCCGGTCGGAACCCATCCCCCTGGAAGAAAGCATGATGAACCAAGTTTCTTCTTCTTCGAGGGCCGTTAGTGTTCACAAAATTGCACAGCTGATCCTGCAACAGAAGCACGGAAGCCACACTGACCAAGAAGCTGCTACAAAGTTTAAGCCGCCCTCGTCTTGCTCCATGGCTGGGCATAGCTCAAAGATGTATTTATGATAGTGCTGCACACCCGAATATCCACATCAACTAGCACGAAATGTAACCAAGGACAATGTCCCGTTTGTATTTTCAAGATCGCGAAGTGACGTCACTGTACTGCGACCGATCACGAACGTCCACGGCTCATTACGAACGCCTGCTTGAGTGTATGCTGTCAAAGGTGCATGCATCTTCGCTGAAGCAAAAAGACTGCAAGCTGGAAGCCGTAAGTCACTGCCATGACATTCGTTAAAATGCAGAACATGCTGTCAGGTAAACGCTGCCTCTGCACCCAGGCCGCCTACCACCACTCCCGCGCTGCCCGCCGTAGGGAGGGCTCCCTTGCCCAACGCGGCGAGCGCGCCTCCTTCTGCGGCCGTCGAGGCGAAGCCCTCCACCGCCTCGGCCTCCGTGACTTGCTACGAAGCAAAGCTTTCGAAAGGCCCGGCCGCCTGGCGCTCCACCTCCGCTTAGGGTCTGTCGGTGGGTGGGTCGCGGCGACGGGGTGGGCTCCCATTGGGCTCCCCTTTTTCTTCTGGGCTCCATGACCGGATCGGGTGGATTCCATTGGGCTCCCTTCATCATGGAGCTCCCTTCATGTTTCCTTTCTGGGCTCTTGAGTCAAAGAGGCTGGGTTCCTGCATCGGATGGGTACAGGGTGGGTTCCAATTGGTGGGTGGGCCGCGGCGACGGGGTAGGCTCCTGTTGGGCTCCCTTCATCATTGGGCTTTCTGGGCAACCATTGGGCTCCCTTCATGTTTCCTTTCTGGGCGGCGACGGGGTGGGCTCGCTCCCATTGGGCCCCCTTCATCACGCATGTCATCACCACTCATTCTTCTTTTGCACAAGAACATTGCCTAATGCCTAACACGTTCCAACCTGAACCGGCATGATTCGATGCATTCTGTTTGGGGTCTTCGCTTGTGAAATTTTACAAAAAAGTCTGAGGCTATTTTAAGCAACCTCGTCTGTTTTTCAGAGCTACAATGATTCCTTTGTCACAGAAACTGCCAAAAACACAGCTTCACTTAAACTCACGAAACCATGATGCTACGTTAATCTTGCGTCAAAAGCTCAATACATAATACAAATATGCACCAGTACCATTGTGAGTGTGTGAATACGTATCCACGGATCCATAGCTGCCACTCTTCTGACTGTAAACTCTAAACCCTAAACCCGGAAAAACCCAAACCCTAAAAACCTGAAACCCAAAAACCCTAAAAACCTTAAACCCAAAAAACCCCAAACCCTAAAAACCCTAAACCCTAAAAACTCTAAACCCGACGCCCTAAAAACCCTAGAAACCCTATACCCTCAAAACCCTCAACCCTTCTGGGCGGGTCTAAACCCTAAAAACCTTAAACCCTTCAAACCCTAAACCGTTAGCCTGAACCCTAGACCCGAAAAAACCTCAAATCTAAAATTCCGACTCTTCCCCCTTTCTCTTCTCGATCCGGTCGCACTTTGTGTTTTTGGAAGTGGGCAGCGCAAGATCCGGTCGTCCACTCTCACGTGCCCAGAGGAGTTTCCGTTTTTGGTCTGGGTTTTTTCGCATGGTGATGCCCATATTGCAGCGACTTCCTTTCTCTGCTACCTAGAATCATTGTTTACCTAGAAAAAAAGAAGTGTTCGTGTTCAAAGAGTCGGCTGCTGATTAGAATTCTAAACTGCTACCTGGACATGGCACTGCTATTTAGATGCTAGCCTCGTCCTCTTTTCCATCTGCATTCTTTCTTTTTAGAAGTCCTTGTGCTCCTCCAGAAAACTCATAGGAATCATCATTTTCATCTTTTGCCTGCCCAGAAAACTGTTTTGGCCATGTTCGTGGCTGGATTTCTAGACTTCTCAAAGAACGAGAAACAATGCGACCCGGCCTTTGCTTGCTTCCGTCCTTTTCCTTTCCATCCTTCTTTTCATCCTTCTTTCCATCCTTCTTCTCGTCCTTCTTTCATGCTTCCTTATGATTTCAAAAGAAGGCTGATTGAAATGCAATGTCTAACATCTCATTGTCCGCCTACGGACTCACATATAAATCAGGAAAACAAGTGAAGCTTTAACTGAAACTGTCGAGCACTGCTCAAACTGCNNACAGACACTAACCACCTGAAACTACAAGAAACTAACCGCTACCGAGGAAAACTCTGTGTCGCACCTAAACTACTGGGCAGAGCACTGGTACAATTTCGGCTTGGAGTTGCCTAGGTCGCAGAGAAGTTAGCGCAGCAGATCATCCTTGTTGTTGGAACGATGCCACTGATGCTCTCACAAAAGCGATTGAAAGGAACGCAGCCGAATCTTCAGAATTCTTGGCCAGAAACAAGGCACTTTTCTTCAAGAAGTAGATGGCTCGGAGACAAGAATTGGAGAAGCCGAAATGGAATTTAAGCGAAGACTTATGCCTTATGTTGCCAAAATCCTGGCTCCAACTGCTTCTACAGACCAACGAATCCTTCTCAAGAGCTTCCCTGCAACGGGACCTCAAGTCATTTTCGGTCACACTTCTCAACCGTCTTGGCTGGACACTTCGTCCTTTTCGCCCAAGTCACAATGTTCTCTTCAGACCTGTTCGAAGGTTTGGAACAGGGAGAGATCTAAGTGGAGAAAGGCCGGTGAGCAGAATCTCTTACATTGAAGACATCAACATCAGGATAGACTCCGTCTACTCTTCTAAGTTACATCCTGATAAAACATTCTTATGCAGTCATTCGAACTCCAATCTTTGTTTGGTTAAAGTAGATGAGCTTCTTGCATTCCCGTTCAACGCAGCCCGTTCGGTTTATGCTTTCATCTGGGCCACTTCGGTCTAGAATGTACTTGTTTGGAGCCTCAGTCTTCTTCCAGCTTCTTGGCAGTTCGACGAATGTGGATGGAAGGCAACTAAGTTTTTCGAAGGTTTTTAAGGTGTTGGAAACGAGTTGTGCAACTTCATGTCGTGGATCACACAAAAAAAGAATCTTTGGATGAGCATCCGCACTTTACTTGTAACACACGTCTGAGCACTGCACGCCTTGGAGATTTTGCCCAGAGACGCAATGCCATTCAGCAAGAGCGCATCCTGGTAAACATGACTGCCAAGTCAAAAGTGGGTTCGAAGCTTGATCAGCGCTCGTCATGTGGGGCTGGGCCCCAGACCTTCGGGCGAAGGGGGGCTTAAGGGGGGCTTCAAGGGGGGCTTAAGGGGGGCTTCAAGGGGGGGCTTAAGGGTCACCCCCTTAAGGGGGTCTTAAGGGGGGGGGGGGAGGGAGGGGGGGGGGGGGGGGGG